CACATAGAATCAAAATAAAGTTTGAAGGTTCTTACAAAATTCTTTGGTGAGGGGAATGCATTTAAAGTTCAATAGAAATATGGTTAGAGTGTTTCAAGACTTCAGTTCTTGGGTATAAATTATATCACAGTTACCAGTGAACCTCAAAATGAAAAATAATTTTGAAACCAACAGCAACATTATATTCCAATAAATGTAGAGAAAGCTGTTAGCCTATTGAAATGTTTTGTTTCAAATTAGAAAACACCTTTCAAGCAAATTTAATCAAAATTGATACTTTCCTTTAACAAGTTCAATTTTGTCAAAATCCTGTTTCCTGACAGCTGCAGTTATAACTTATATTTAGAAGCTTCCAAAACATTTTAATTTTGAGGTTATTATACAGATACTTCCAGTGCTAAAAGAGAATATTGTAAACACTGAAGGCTTAGAATAGCCTTTTCAAAGCAGGATCAAAAGCTTTAAAATGTTGCACATGGATACGGCTAGGGAATTATTTCAAGAGACAAAAAACATTTGGAGAATGTTTGGGAAACATTGCTTTCCATAAATCTATACAAAGAACTGAAGACTCAAGCTTTTGCTAAGGAAAAATATCATATCACATCCTCCTGATTATTTCATTGTGATGTATCTGTTTACTCCCACCTAGCATATGAGACATGAACTCTGGACAGAAGTGAGCAGATTTCAGTAAGGGAGCCTGGTGCCTGCTGAACACCCTTTTTTGCACCAGAAGAGTTGCCAAAAGAGGAAAGAACATGAAAGACATAGAGCAAAAGCAATCCTGATAGCAAGAAATAAATAAGCTAGGACTTCTTTATCTCTAGCTTTCATTTTACTTTATTTTTTATTGGAGAAGAAGGACAGCCTATTTTTAAGGGCATATTCATGCCACCCTTCCTTGGAGTAGTAGAACACATAGTACCCGTCATTGCTAAGGCACAGTTCATTTCACTAAAGGTATCCAGAAAGCTAATTATCTCCTGAGAACTTGCTATAATTTTAAGGTTATGCAAAAGATGTTAACTAATCACACAGCTCCCAGATATTTGTAACACGCAGTGTGACTCTGAGGTTGCATTTAAATGAGAGACAGGCATGACTACTGATGTGTTGTTTGTTAGTGCTGCACAGCAAGCAAAATGCTACATTACACAGTGCCAAATTCACAATACTTCATCGGTTATGCTTCAGAGATAACAGAGAGCATACAACACTTAATCAGTGTTCAGTGTTCCACAGGCTATATTAAATAATAATAATAATAATAAACTGAGAAGTACTCCAGGAAAAAGATAGACTACAAAATTAATTACAAATTGCAAATACGGTGCAATGCAAATGAATGCAAATAAGAAAAGCAAAATGTTTGTTTTTTTACCAAATACTGACCTGATCTGGGAAACTCAGGCTTCCTGATAAATTAAAAGTCACAGGTTAGGCTTTAAATTATCGGTATTGGCTAAAAATTACACAAATTTGAGGAAGTTTAAATAAGAAACATAAAACTCATAAGATATACTCAATTTAGAACTGTTACTTTTTAATGTATACTGAAACCAAAACTGCTGCAGACAAGTATCAGACTATTGCCTATTTTCAGAAGTGGGTGGACAAAGAAAATAGAGGTTTTTGACCTGAAAAGAATAGTGTTGACTTCTTTGGAAATAATGCTATTGAGTGGTCTTTTTCCCCTGTGAATAGCTGTAAATACAATCAGCTAGTTATAACAAAACCTGACTTTCAAAAGTTGTCATTTAATGCAATTAATCAATAGCAAACGTGAAACTATACATATGTCTCATATATACATATGTACATCTGTATCTATAATATATAGACAATAACAAATAATTAGAAAATATTATTATACCTCTCCTTAAAGAGTCAACATTTATGCCTTGTCATTCATAATTTGAACAAAATTGCAATAGATAAGAATGATAGATAACTGTTATCTCTAAACATCTGACATGTGAATTAATTAATTCCCATTTCATGCTACAACACCAAGCATATTGAAGTAGGCCCATACATATTTCAATAGGTGCATGTTTTAAATTTAGGGCTATGTCTTCATCAGACTAAATTAGAGACGAGATAATTAATATTTAACTTCTGTTAAAGCATCTTAAAATGTATTGTCTTAACCACCACCTTTCTTTTAAGACAGCCACATGAATATCTATTTGTAAATCTCCCTCTTAATTTTCAAGCAAATGAAACATGAATACAACTTCAGAGGACACATAAATGGCAAAAATCAAGAGTCTAGGGTTTAGCAACCCAGAGAAAGCACGTTGCAGAATTTATATCCTTCTGATCAGCTGAGGGGAAAAAGAGGGAACCTCAGATGAACTAGAAAATTCTACAGAGGTTTATATACAGGGCATGCCTTAAAACTGATGTGGATTTTCAGTTTAAGCTTAGTGCAAAGAAAGGAAAAAAAAAAGGCATAAAACATTCTTTGGAGCTGTGGTATGTGCCATAGAAATCGAATCTTGCTTTGAAGCAAGAAACAGCTGTTACTTAGAAATATGGAAATAATTTACCATAAGAAGCAAAGATGTGAAGAAAATAGATTCTAATCTGGTTCATAATATTATTGAATTATTATTTTAAATGTCAGAAAAACAAAATAAATGAACAAAACTGCAAGCTACCAGAGATAAATGCTGACATTAAGGGAAAAAAACATTAGAAGATTAACTAGAAGGCCAGAGTGAAGAGTCTCAGGTGTTCAATGAAATCTGCCTTCCAGCTCAGAGGGAGTCTGGTTTAAAGTAGAGAAAAGCAAGTCACAGACATGAAGAATGAAAAAGCTGTTTACACTCAAATATAAAACTACAGATCAGAACTGCTGAAGAGCCTAAAAAGTCTGGAACCAAAACCGGAATCCCATAATTAGCTATTCCTATTTAGGAATTGTGCCTACTTAACCCAGATTTCTAATCTGTCTTTGAAAAGTGAACTGGAGAAGTTCAGGTAGCCAAAATAAAAAGAATGAGCTAATCAGTCACTTATATTTCATTATGGACAAGAAGCATATCCCATCCCAGGAGAAGGACTTTAAGTTTCAGTGTCTTAGACACTAGAGGAAAAAAAAAAAAAAGAAGAAATCCACAGAAATGAAGACTTAATGGCAATGCTCTTGCCAGCACTATTACTCAGTTGGAAAAAGTCATTTGGGGGAATAATTAACTTTAAACCCGCCTCTCCCCAAAACAGAGATTTTCAGTATGTTATTTAAAGTCTACAGGCCAAATTGTCTATCAATTAACTCTGACTTCAGAGAATCAGCAAAAATGCAGCTGCAAACAGTAGAGTTTTGCTAGGATTAAAATGTCTTTTCAACTCTGTCATTTTGAAAAAGCCTAGCTTTTCAAGGTCCCATTCTTGAGAAAAGGCAACAATTAGCTGCATTTCCACTACTAACCAGTCTACACTACTTTGATGCTTAAGTAATTGATAAAACTAACTTACATCACTGAGATTCAACTAAATAGTTTGTTATTAACTAATAGTTTAGAATTATTAGTTATTAACTAATAGTTAAATAAATACATGAATAAGGGCCCATATATAGATTTGTATTTTTAATAGATTTTTACACATTTGACTTCACAATTACTTACACATTTACACATGACTTCACAATCCATTTTCTTTTACATATGAGCAACCTTTCAGTTCAAGAGAAAAAAATACTAAACAAACCCAAACAGCAATACTTTCTTAATATTTCTGTTTCTAAGTAACCCTGTAATTTTTGCTTCCACAAAACTTTTTCCAGACCATTTTCAGAAATCTAATCTAGTTCATCACACCATGTCTGAGCCTTCCTATATCATACATAATTTGCCTGAAAACCTTTGGTTTATGATGTCTTCAATTCTGGATTATATCCTTTTATTTGTGTGCTCCTTTTGATATTTCATCTCAGCTCTCTGTATATATTAAAATAACAGCCAATACACATATGAATTTGAATGCCATACTAAAATGAGTATAGAAGGTGTAGTAAAACAGAGATTAAAAATGTATGTTGCAAGAGATGAGACTGGAATGGTTCAGTGTGTGAAAGATGCTCAGAATTTTGGATGATTAGCTAAATTTTATTCTGAAAACACTTAGATCTCATTTTCAGAATTAGCTGAAGCTCAGCAAGGACCCTAACGGTATTATCACTTCCTAATTCCCTCAAAAAATTTAGAGCTGTGTTAAAATTAAACTGTGGGTGGCGGTGAACTGTGGGTTCAAATGCGCAATTTTCATTTGGGATGTCTACAGAAATTTAATTAGATGATCACACTAGTGATCACTCAAAGGCTTAACTGGTACCTTATGAAGTAAAGCTGATGTCCACTAAGAAACTGTTAAAATAGGGAAAGGAAGCTTAAAATGGCAAAAAACCTGAGCAACTGACTGAAAAAGGGTATCCACAATTGTTAGATTCCTGAAAAGAATGGTAGGGACTAATAAGGAGCATCAAGAAAAAAAACATATGACAAGGTTGAGTGACATTCCACATTTGGGTGGCTAAAGAACAAAGATGTAAGGAAAACAAAGTGATTGCTTGGAGTGCAAAGATCCTGTCAACACAAAAACAAGTTAAACAAACAATTTTATTCTTTTAATTCATATTGAAGACTGTGTCACTGTGATGTAACTGAACTCTTTAAAATCAAATCAATCAATCTCTGTAGCACTTTGTGGAAGAGCAAGAAGCAGAAAATAGAAACCTGACAGCCCAATGTACCTTTGCCCTGATGTTAACTTGTCAACACTTATAAACCCAGAAGGAGAAACCAGACAATAGACAATATATAAATTATTCTTAACAGCATTGACAGCTGCTGTTCTTTTCCTCTCAATGCATGCAAAACTCACTGGCTTAATTTCATTATTATTATTTGTTATTACTGTTGTTATTATTATTTTTATTATCATTATTATTATTACTATTATCATTACTACCACTGCTACTATAACTACCTTTTAAAAATGTCTCCCTATCTTAATCTTTGAGAGATGGATAAAACTGCTGTAAATCCTAAACAAAAACAACTACTGTTTTGAATCTTCCATTCTGCCAACAGCAGGTAAACAAAAATTTTCTCATTAGCAACAATGTCTGGGAATGGAAGTAAAATTCCACTCTGGGTCCCAGAGCTTCCCAGAAATGTGATTACATAGAAATGTACATCCCGTGCTTGAAATGACACTTCAAGCCTTCTGGACTATGGAAACTTCAGAAGACCCTCAAAACCAAAGATGAACCACTCCACACTATCCAAGGCAGGAGCAATGCTGTTTACAGCTCTGCTTCAGAAGTGATGTCCTTCCCAGGCACTGCTCATTGGTAGGGACATGAAACAAATTGGGTTTTGTTTCCTTTTTAGAACTCATCAAACACTGAACAACAAATGCAAAAAGTTCCCTTATTTTGATAAAACAATTTTTTTCCATAACCCTTGATGAATTCTGCCGTGTTGAAAAGCCAGGAGTTAACTGGGAAACCCCACAAGCACTGCTTGGCCTGCCAGAGTGTGAACGAAGGATGGAGCTGAGGGGTCTTACTGTCCCACAGGTCTTCCAACATTGTTGGATTACTAGGCTGAAGCCTAAAAAGCAAGAAATTTGATCAATTCCCAAAGGAGACTAGGGCTTTTCAAATCTTCCAGGACCTTGCAAGTCCTCTGGGAGCTCAGTAAAACCTGAAACATTTGCTTGATTTCTCTCCCTGAAGGATTGCAGTTGTGGGTGTGAAGGTTTGGGGATTTTCCACTGCCTTGTGGCTTTGTTTTCATCTTGGTGAGCTGCTGCTATGAGCGAAAGGTTTACAGTTTTGCCAGTGGTATATGTAAAGGGGTCTTTTTCTGAACCTCAGAAAAAAACATTATGAATTAGACTATTACAGTTTTACAGGTGAAAAAAGCTAAAGCAATTGAAGGAGAAGGAATCTAGGCATGTTAAAGAGCAGTCTCACTTGGAAGTAGGACCAGCATTTTACAATGTCTAAACAATTTGTTGAGGAGGCTGGTGAAAACTGTGAAAAGAGACAAATTTGGAAGGATAATTAGAGAGGATCAAGATGAAATACTAGCTGTCAGGAAGCAGAAAGTATTTTAAACTAGTGCTAGCAGATGCTTCAAGTATTACTCTGCACAGACAAGAGGAAAATGTGTGTGGAGATTACCCCAACTTATGAGAATAAGAAAGGGATAGAGCGATAGGGAATATAAAACACAGTCATTATTGATGCAGTTCTTTTCTTCTCTCTTTGCAGAAGACAGAAATGAAAGTTGTATGAGTCTTTGCAGGTAAAAGGTTATGTAATTATCCAAACATACCTGAATTCCTGGTCTAGGAAATGCACTGAGTGTCTAATCTAGGAACTGTCATCTGGTTTTCAGTAGGAGGACAATGAATTTCCTCAGTGGTAGTTAGTTTTTAGTGACTTTTTCCCCCTCTGCACCCTGTACCTTTCAATTAAATCCCAGGCAGTGTTAAGAAAATGAAACAGCAGTCATTCAATGGCTAGAAATAGTATTCTTGCCTTTATCTACACACACTGAATGGGCCAAAATATATGATAAAGGCTCTTGCATCAACATAGGCATTGTGTTGTTCTCATAGCGTGGGACAAACAGAAGGCAGCACGAGCTGTTGCACAGCAGAGATGGGCCAAACCAGGTGGATCTGAGGTCACACACAGCAGACAGTTTTGCTGTCTGGAACTGCCACTATTTCAGTCTCCAACTCACCATTTTCTGTAATGCACATATAATGCTTCTGTCTCTTTCATTCTTTCAGAGGTAAGAGGTTATCTAAAAGAATATTTGGGGGAAAATAGCAAACATGAACACCTGCATTCCAAATGGTCACAATATTCTGTACGGTAATATTGGTGAATTCCTTTTATTGCTTATTCCAAACAATAGGAAGCAATCCTGTAGGAAATATTTGACAGAACAATGAAGAAAACAAATACACAAAAAAATTCTCGACATAGAGTCAGGCAAATTAAAAGGTGCAAATGTATGTAATTCATTTTCCAGGGCAAAACATTTCTGTATGATGTCTGATATAATTAAGACTGTGAAAATTTGAAGATCTTTTATATACTTTATACACTTTACACATTTTCAGCTAATCAGAACTGTTTCTTTATTGGCTATTTTTTGTGAGTGCTGAATAGCAGTCCCTTTTTGTAGCTTTTTTTCCCTACAGCAACTACTGAAGCCTTCATTTACACTGCACAAATTATCCTTAGCAGCAGGTAGGAAGCAATCAGCAAGGTGTAGCTGGCAATAGGTCTATTTTCATTACAAGATGGAGAGAGCCAGGGGACATGACATTTGTCCAACATAGTCAGGGAGGACTCTATTAGGAAAATCAGCTCTGGAGAATTGTAGTCTTGCTGAGGAGAAATTGAAAGGGAGAATGTGGGAAAGAGGGTGGTTGTTTTGTTTGGTTTTTTCTTACTTCTTCTCATTAAGATAAGAAAAAGACAGAAGTAAGAAATAATTCAAATCCTTTAAAAACTTCCTACAGTGCCATAAAATGCATATAATTCTGCTCTTGAGTATGCTGAGCATTTCAGAGTACGTCTGTGAAATGATTTCACAGTGACTCATTAGTGGAACTGTTAGCAACAAATTTGGAGGAGGAGAGCATGAAGATTTTGGAGATAAAAGAGAGTCACAGATAATGCAGTTTATCATACTGGATAAATTTTTCAAACAATAGTAGAATAAAAGAGAGGTGGGAGGGAAATGGGCAAAATCATAATGACTTAACTTTACATACCTAATTGAGATACTCAAATTGAGAAACCAAATATCCCAGAGTGTCCCTTGAAGGTGATTGCTGTCCCCCAAAGTTCTTAATTATCTTTTGAAGGTGACTATTTTCTCTTGAACTACAGTGGCAGGAATTTTCCCCATTATATGTTATTATTTCTGGTTTCAGTTCTCCTTTGAGTAATCTCTGTTGCCTCCCTTCAGTAAGCAGGAATGTTGTATGCTTTTAAGTATTTACTGAATGTTTTACAAGGAAATATTTTTTCTAGAACTGTAAATACAAAGAACTCCTCTAAGCAAATGAATGCCCAGAAGGCTGTATTTTCTTTCCTTTTTAAATAATACATTTGCTTGCTATTGGCCTTGGAACTGAACTTCCTCCTTTACCATAACACAGGAATAAATGTATCTTGTTAAGTTCCAGGGTAATGATTATTTTTTTTTCATACATAGTCAAGGAAAATTCCTAGTATAGTGAAAACTGTAAACTTGAATAAAAGCTACAGTTTTTATCTAAAATTATTAAATATAGAAGCATGTTGATAAATTCTTACATAAGTATACCTTAAATGCAATCTTCTTAAGGACATTAATATTTACATTTGTTTACCTGAATAAAATCCCTAGAATACAGATGAAATGATGCCTTTGTCAGAGGTGATGAAATGAAATATCACACTTCTTGCTCCAGAAGTCTGTAGCACAGCAGGACATTGAACACTTCTCTTCTGAGTCCTAGGTTAGCACTTGAACCACAGGAGAAACCCACCTCCATCTTCAGGGGCTATACCTGTAAATGAAAATGGAAAGGAGAACATACTAGTCCTCATCTCTTCACTCATCTTTTACCTCTCAGAACCTGAGGAAAAGGACACTGTCAAGCTTTCTCAAGGAAATTGTTTCTTGTAATTTTTTTTTTTTTGTGGGATATAGAATCCCAGATCTTTCCTAAGTGCCTAACAGTTAACTGAGACATAGCAAGCAAATGAACATTGGATGGCCAAGTTAAGTTGTAGCAAAATAATTTTTCTAAGGCTTTTAATCTAATTTTAAAGCCTAAAGGCAAGGAAATTTAATGGCTAGATCTTAAACAAATGCATAAAATATTAACATCACTTCAGAAAACTCAAATGGAGTACTTCTCCCCACAGAAGACACAGTATACCTACATACTCCATGCAGTAAGAGACATGGAGAATTTTATAAAGCTGGGTGGGGGCAGAGGGAAGAAAACAGAGAAGACTAGAGCCAATACCTATCTCATCTTCATGGAAAATCTCCAAGTTGCCCTGAAGTGTTGGCCTGAAATGATGGTTCCTGATTTTAGAAAACTATTCTCAGATAACCATTTTTTGTTGTTTGGTATTGGGTAGCACACCTTGTAGAGGGTGAATACTCTTTAAGCTCTTTCAAATGCCCTCTAACACCAACTTCACATTGCAAAAATTCATGCTTTTCAGTACTGGACAATTAAAACTCAAAAAATGAAACAGGCCTCAGTCTCACTGTCTCCATGTGAATTATGAACTTGAGAGAACTCTAGTTTCACCTTTTTTTAGTTGCTCATTTATCCATATATTTTCCTTTAATTTTCCTGCATCACAATTAACCTCACTGCCTAAGGCTTTGCATGGTATTCTTAAGAACAACCAAGTATCACTCACCTCACTTTGCAAAGAAGCTTAAACAAGGTTGGTGCACTATTAACCCTTGATCCTCAGTTTGCTCATACCTCCAGACTGTACTCTCTCTTTATGGCTCTATAGAGATGCTTCATCAGCACAAAACTGTTACACAATAAAGCTCCTTGATATAAATATACACCAAAACATTCCTTCACATGTTCCCGTAAAAACAGTTGGTATTTCACAGGCTAGAACTGTTAAATCTAGACATCTCAATCAAAATCCTTGAAAAGAAAGATATTAAGCGTGGTTATTTTTAAATTAGGTGGCTTTCAAAATTGCTGCAGTCATAGACAAAGATTGTGTTAGGAAATTTCAGCTGTTTCATTCATTGAAGAATGTTTGCTCTGATCTGGAATCTCCAGCCCAACCTCAAATACTCATTAAGGCAGGGTAGGTGTTCTCTTTTGTGCTCTCTTTGTCACACAAAACAAGGAACATGTAAGAAAACAGTGTAAAGAAAAAAACATTTTGAGCTGAACACTGAAGTTTTCAGTTAATTCTTTTCTTGTAGCACAGTACTAGCTTAATTTTATGAAATAAATTAATTGCAGAAAACATAGCTACAGCTAAACCTCTTAAATTTCTATTTAACTTCCAGGACAAAATAATTTTTTTCTCACTCCTTGCCAACTGACTCAGGTTAAAAGCTTCTTTATATACTTGATGAAGCAAATTTAACTCTTTTCTATCATATTTGTTGTGATGTACATCTCTGCTGCATTACAATATGCCCTTTATTGTGCCAGTTTAAATATCACCCATACATGAAAGGCAGTGAAATTCTATCAGCAATTTTTTTTTCTGAAATCATGCAGTGTTGGAACAAAATCAAAGCAGCAAACAAACCCATCCTGCTCCTCTCCAGCTTTCTAAAACTTTCTCAAGTTCTGGGATATGGGAGAGAAATGCAATTAAAACAATTCTCTAAGTGCTTTATTTGCCACCTGCCATTCATTGAATACCTGCTGATAAAAGTGAGTTTTTTTACTTGCAGATTTATCCTGATAGACTGGAATTACGAAAGTTCACGAGTGCTCCAGGAGCCACATGAGGATAAATATAGATTCAATCAAATCAAATCAAGTTTGGCAATAAAGATGTAAGAAGTGAATTACTTTCAGCTTGCCCCAAGTTGTTTAACTGAACCAGGACAATTTATGAAGGTAGTTTTATTTTAAAAATGTAGAAAACCTTGTACGATTCAATTCTTCTGTTACTCTGTAAGCTATACAATTCACATGCTACAATTTATTTAATTTTGAAAATTACAATTTTCAAAAGGTATTTTATCCAAATTTTATTCAGGTATTTTATCACATGTTCAGAGGTTCTTACGTAATATTATTTTAATTAAACCTTTTAAGTGTAACTTTTTATGTTATAATATACTTGTAACATAAATGAATATTAACTATTCCTATCCTTATACCAATATACTCATGGGTCAGTTTCAGTGAAGGTGTTTGTCTATATTAGTGTTTTATATTAGAGCTTCCCTGCACTTCTGAGGTGAATGTCCCAGCTGCTCCTCTTTACTTTGCTGTGAGATCTGCTTGTGAAGAATCAGTTGGTACAATAGTGAGGTGATCTGAATGTGCAAACCCAAGGTAGCTGGGAATGCAAGACTTAAGTCCAGCTGTAAATGTTAGCAGCAGTAATTAAATTTTGCATCAGTATTTTCTTTCTTTTTACATATATCTTTTTCCTCCTTGCTGTTTGCCTCTTAATGTAACTGTAAAGAAAAAAGTTATGCTCTCAAAATGTGAGCATTTGTCTTTTAATTAGAGAGATTTTATAACTAATTCTCACACTTTTTACTAAAATTCACCTCATTCTACTGATTAAAGATGTTGGATGAGCTGTTATTTGCAGCATAGTTCTATGTCATAAATCCATATGATCAGATAGGGTAGACCAGCAATGCTCTGCTACTGCTGAAGTTTGTGTATAACTGACAGAGACTATTCATCTGACCTTATATGACAGATCACGAAATTGATTCAAATTCAGAAGTCAAAAACATAACCTAAGTTTGACAATGTAATGTAGACACAGCCTCGAAGTTTAGTTATATCAAAAAAAAGGCAATTCAATTTCAGTAGTCAATTTTCACTGCTATTAGAACTAGCTTCTTGCAGATTTGTGAGAGGAAAACTAAAACTACAAACATCATCTGTAGCACAGTAAGGTGCATGAAGCAGAAATTTTGTGTGTACACTTATGAAACCACAGTGTCCCCTAGGTGTACACAGGCCCCCATTGTCTTTTGAGGATATTAAACACAGGCATCATGTGTAAACAGTCATACTGACTCTGATTTTATTTTGAAGTTCACCGGAAGACTTTCCAATTTTAAGAGAACAAAGACCGAGGCTTTGTGAAAATAGTGACAAGAGGTTCTTAGCACCATTGACAAACTGGGATGGTTTGTGAAAAAGCCAGAATTAGCCAAGTTTATAAGGGGATTTATTTTATATTACTGTCCTTATGAACCAATTTAGTCAGATTATAATGTCAGCATTTACAACACCAATAAAAATAGAGGTTTATGCTACAACAATGGGCAGAGTTTCATTTTAGTAAATCAGGGAGGTGTGGCATTTTCATTTCAGCAACTCATTCTAAAAACAAGGTCACTGTAAAATCACTCTTTGAACAGACAGATGGGAGGCAAATCTAAAATGGCCCTTTAAGGATTTTAACTGGCATGTGGTAAAGACATAGTTAGATTCTCAAGTACAGAAATTCTGAGTGAAACTGAAAAGTAGCAATTTCTCTAGTTAAATGCTTCAGGTCTGTGATTGGCTCAGTTTCTTAATCTTCCATAATGGATGTTAAACAATGACGAAAATAGAGACAGAATTATTGTTAATCCACGAATATGATGCTAATTGTTTTTACATGGACCATGCCAAGGATGCTAAATTTAAAAAAAAACAAAAAACAAAAAACAAGAAAGCAAAATAATTAATGCTAGAAGTTTCTTTTAAACTAAAAAAACTCCACCAAACCTATGTAAAAAGTTGGTGGCTTTTTCCCTCTAATGAAATGAGCTCTTTACATACAAATTATATTGTAATAACAGAGCTCCCTGGTGGAAAAGAGTTCCTTCTCCTGCTGGCAAAAATTAAGATAATCACAGATGGCTAATGATCAAAAATACTGACTGACAGCTCTGAAGTACAAGGCACAGATAATATTCTCAGAGCTACAGTTTATTTATACTCAGAACTGGCTTTAGGCACCCACAAAATGTGCATTCGTGATGTCCTATTATAATGGAGATCTTTTAGCCACCAATTCCTGTTGCCAAGGTTTTTCCTTAAGACTAAACTGATCTCCATGATTTTTTCAACAAAATATTTGTGTTTTGGTGTACCAGTTATTTGAAACAATCTGTAACTAGCTGAATTTTCTTAAACATGTAGACTATTATTTTTAGCACCATTATAATGAAAATGTGCATTTAGAGTTCTTAGAAATACTGTATTATACTTCAGGGTTTATATACTTCAGAAATCAGTGAGGGCAAAGAAACGGTACTGAAACTCACTAGTTTCTTGTATTTGAATGATGGTGTACAAAGTGTCTGGATTTTTTGGTAGCTTTCAAAAACCTCATATATCTATAATATAATATATAATATAATCTATAAGGAGATTGATCTTGCTCTTGCTCCCACCTGAAACATGAAATGTTTACCTGATTCAGCCAGGAGGTGGATGAGCTTATAGGTAATTCTAATTTTCTCAAATGTTTCTTATTTATCACTTTATGGCTCCATTAAAAAGGAGCTAAACATTTTGTGGAGTAGAAACATATCTTTAATTTCACAGCACTGACTGTGTATTTAGGCTTGTGATTGTTATAACCCTTCAGTACACATCCAACATGGACCATCAAATGTTTTCTAATAGAATGTCTGCCCTATTGAAATGTAATTTCTAGCTCGTGTAATGTAGATGAAAACCTGGTAAGATTTTGCAGACCTATTTAAAAGGCTTGCTAATAAGAATGCCAGTTTTAAATACCCCCAAAATATTACCAGCTGTGTATTAGCAATGTTTCCCATTAAATAATGTGTAGTAATGGATATCTGTAAAAGTTTCTACTCCTTTAGCCATTTAACTTTCAGGTACATATTAAGAAGATGGCACAAAAAAGGGCGAAGTTCACTGAATTTTGCTACTGATTTTTTTTTAACTTCAGCAACCAGGAAGGAGGGAGAGAGGGAGAGAGAGAGATGCTACTTATGGAAAAGCTACACAGAACTACACATCACTTGACACCAGAGAATGCAGCAGGAAATTTTCAAAATCCAAAACTATAGGAAAACCTATAGTCAGAATTTGCACTGGCTTAGACTATGCAGTTCATCTTCACAAGCAGCATAAACAAGGCTTCATTAATCACAGAGCTCCTGGAAATACTTGCTTAATAAACCTTTTGATTTTCAACTAAGCATGAGTTTTCGACACAGGCTAACAATTTTTGTGCTGACAGCAATAACCTTCCTGGTGTGTTGCATAGTCTCAGACTTTAATATAGGTTCACATTCTTTTCACTCAAGTGTCTGGCTGGACCCCTGCTACACGAGCTGGAGGCTCTGGGTGTAAGGAGCACCCATATATCAATGCAGTTCCTGTTCTGCCAGAACAGTGTAAATTTTGCAGGCATGTAGCTGGAGTAATAAGTAATACAAAATTTTCCCCATGCAGACCATATTTTTGTAGCTATGCTGAGCTTCATCCCAACTGAAATGATTTCAGCAAGTTATTTCATCTAAACACTTGTAATTTGTAAGTCTGCGCCTAACTAGCATTCTAGCAACAAATGTATCAAAAAATTACTTCTTAGGATAAAACTTGGTATACAGTGTTACATTAACAAGTTAAAAAGTCATAGCAAAAAAAGAGAAAGTGAGAGATTTATTATTATTATTATTATTATTATTATTATTATTATTATTATTATTAGGAGCTACAGGGGCTTCACAAACCAGCACTTTTTAAGAGCATGTATTCATTCTATCTCTTTTGAAACCCAGTTACAGCTAAGTGAACTATCACAACTAAACTATTTCACTGAACTGAACAACAATAAACCAAAACGAATAGAAGTACTAAAAGCATGCCTGAGGCAACAGAAACTTTGGTGTTAATTTCCATCTCTTTCAAGTGCATTTGATGAATGATGTGACAAAAGAATCCTAATTAAAGTTGAAATCCTGAATACTAAATAAATTAGAAGTGCCACTACATTCATCTTCTACAATGATAATACTGCTACTTCTACTCCTTCTCTGTGCCCCTTTGCCTACATCTGTGGCAGTAACTCGGCAAAGGGCACTGCCAGCACAGATGGGGAAATGGATACTCTCCCCCAAATAGAGAGATAATAGGACAGGCTGCTTTGTTTCCCTTCACTGCCTTCAATTTACACAAAGAAAGCCTACCAGGAGCCTTCAAAGTATTTTTAGGTATGTATTTTTTCTCTCAAATGATTTAAAACTTGACAAGCGATGCTACACTATCTGGTCTTTAGTAGCCCTAGAAAAGTTGCTGTGTTTATGGCCATTAAATTTTTATTTTTTTTATTACTGGAGAATCATTAAGTATATATATACTTAGAGTAATATATAATCCTAATGGGTTGGAAAGCAACACTGAAGGGATGAAATTCTATGGCTTGTGTCACACAAGCCAGGCAAGACAATCATAAATGACCTTAAAATCTATTAATCTTTCAAGGACCTGCCCCATTCAATAAGCATACTGGAACATGAATTATGACTCCCGAGAGACATCCTTTCCCTGCTCCCCTTTTGTTCCAGGGAGCAACTCTGAAATACTTCAGGAGGAGTTTATATCCCCAGTGTGTCCAAGCAGTAGGCTTGTCTTTTTCTGTTCTCTTTCCACTCCTTAGAGAAAGAGGGCTGTCAAGGGAGGAGGCCCTTCTATTCCCACCACAACTACACTCAAAATCTGCCAATGCAAACGAAGTGTCTTGTCTCTTCAGTGTCTCCAAATCCCATTTGTGCTAAGGCCTGTGACAAGAGAAGGCCTAAAAGGCTGTAGTCAATCAGGAACTCAAAGGGAGCTATGTAGTCCAATCTTTCAACCATGTCAGTGACTAATACTGCCTGCCATTTTAGAAAAAAAATGTAAACACATAATAAACATGTAATGATATATATCCAAAATTTCCTCCTAGCCCAAAGCAGTTTACAGAAAATTCTGAGTTCATACATTTGTATTTAATGTCTCACAATGTACTGCACATGCACAGAACACACATAACTTGACATGGTTAAACATTTCAACACTGCAAATGCATAGGTCACACAACACCAAGTGTCTTCTTTAATCTTCTTGCAGTGCTATCACACTTCTTGGCTCCTTGTAAACAATGTAGTTTTCTTTGTATTTTCTAAATTACAAAAAATTCCCCCACTTTAATTTGAGGTTTTAAACAAGTTTTCAGATTCGTTATATGAAATTATTTTTTTTTAGAGGAAATGAAAGAATTATTTTAATGAAAATGGTAGATTGTTTGTTTGTATCTGATAGATTTTAAGACCTGATTTTACACCTAATCTAGCTCATGGCATTTTAATGGACAAGATATTTTAAAAACTGATAGATTTTAAGACCTGATTTTACACCTAATCTAGCTCATGGCATTTTAATGGACAAGATATTTTAAAAACTAATGTGAATGAAAATGCAGCTTGTATATAGTTTCCAGAATTCTTGTCAATATGTGAACTTTGCAGCCCTAATTTTCACCTATGAATTTTGGACTGATGTTTTAGAAAGGGTATTTCTTGATCTTAACTGCAATAGTGATCATTTCAGTCATCAGAGTGAATGGTTGGGATAATTATTCTGTGTAAGTAAATATATATAGGTTTAATAAATTGCCTAAATAGGAGAGACATGCTGAGGTACATATTGTGTGATATTTTTTATTAAAGTGCCTATCTTGCAGATGAAGAACTGAATATTTGCAGTACCAGCTTCTGAATTTTAACTTTGAATTCCACTACTAACAGTAAAATATTTAATTTCCAGTATAACTTGAGGTAAAGAAAATTTTCAACCCACCTTTAAAAATGCACAGGATAACGAACATCTTATTAACTCACTCTCACACAAACACCCTGTGATATATGTATGCAGCCTGGATTTTCTTCTATGCTTAGAAACCCCAGTTTGACAGGTAAATATGAGACTTCCAATTTTTCCTGGATTTTTGAATGACTTCATATGTATGTCTTAGGGTGCTGGTCAAGGATAAAGAGGACAAGTGAGAGGTATTTAAAAATAAGTAGTTGGAACTTGAGAGCTTAGTAATTGACATGTCTGTTTTCTTTTTTTCTAACAAAAAGGAAGCAAGATGGACTTCCCTAAGCTAAGGCAAGAAATTAACTTGGAAATTTAGCTTGCCTCTTATCATGTGTGTCACTACAGAGTTTAACAAAGTCACTGCAAGCTTTCTTTTCTTAGGGATAGACTAGATTGTATTTGGTCTTCACCATCACTTTGACATCATTATCACTGACCTTGATCCTTTCTGCCACTGTCTGCTGTGATCCCTGGGGATTAACTGCTCAAAGGTTATTGACTTACATATGTGTATAGGAGTTGTCATCTCTGGATTCTTAATAATTGATTGTCAAAGCACTTTTGCACCATGCACCTTGCTTTTTATGGCAGAACAAACGCCCTTTCTTAGCTCAGTGTTCAGCTACTCTTCTTAAGGGTATGTGAGTGTCAACTGGCATGATAAAGCAAAAAAATACAAGCTTGTCAGTAATGACCTACTTGGTAGCCATCAGAACACTTGGCTTAAAAGTCAGAGAAAGCTTTTCAAATTCTTGTGCTGTTCTTTTGCGGTGTTGTTTGGATTTGTTTTTTTCCCCTGGGTTGACACAGTACTGCACCACAGCTCCGGCTAGCTCCGTGGTGTTCTTTTGCAGTCCGATGCAGGCAAGAGCCAGGAGTGGGGAATCACTGGGGATCAGGCTTTTCCCTCAGCGAAACCTCCAGGGTCTTGGGCCGCCCCAAGCTCTGCGGTGCACGGCGTCGGGGTGGAGGTAAGAAAGTAGAGGAGCCTCTCTTGGATTTAAGTTCACAGCAATGGTTTTATTAGGCTGGGGAAAACATGGGACCCACACACGAAGGAGTCAAGTCAGAGAAAACCCCAAACCCTCCTGTGCAGGCAGTTAAGTACAGCCTGATCTCCAGGGGCGGGTACAAACCATGGACCAATGGGGAATCTCGAGGGGAGGAGTTAAGGGGAGGGGATCACAAATTCAGGGCCAATGGGGATACAAAGAGGGAGGGAGCAAGATGCACTAACCAGTGGGGACTCGAGGGACAAATGATTGACACAGAAGGGTCTGGAAGAAGGGGTGGGTTTTACAATGATGGATAAGGAATAGGGGCAGGGCTATGGTGACTGGCAGGGAACATTCCAGAAAAATAGGAGGGGTTAACATGACTGACAACTGGGGCCAAACCAATATAATCAATAGGGGGAAACAATAACACACCAACAAGCTTTAATGAACCTTTAACAAAATTAAATAAATTAACTACAACACTGGGTCTACTGAAAAATGCAGCAGAAACCATTGTCATTAAGAGAAGTCTAGATTTGACTAAGGTAATCAAAGGAAAGTATCTCCTTCAAGAACTAGGGAAGGAAAAGTTATTCTTTTCAATCTTTCTGAACATGCAAATGATCTGAAATGAGTTGTATAAGTACTAGTGAGCCAAAAAAAAAAAAAAAATCATTTAAAAATGGAAATTTATGTCTGGATTTTTGTGTCTTATGAACATATAAGTTACAAGGGTTTTTATTTTACTTTATGTATTAAAAACTTTTGTTAATTTTGAAGGTTAAAAAGTTTTGTCACACTGGCAGTTCTGATAAAAATTCAGCCAAAATTATAGTTAGGTTTGTTGGCTGGGTTTGGGACTTTTTTTTTTTTTTTTTAATACTTTTAAACTGTCCTGTCTTTAGTGGTTTTATTGAAGGATTGTTCATGCTAGTGAAGATTAAATGACATTAAACTAGTGGCCTTGTAAATTGATCAAGCTTACAAAACAAGGTTAACTGAATACAATAATATGTTAAATTTGTTGTACTCACCAAAAGGGTAAGAGCTGGTTTCTTAACTCAAGTGTTTTTTTCAAGAGGCTTAGTCTCAGAGACACTGAGGAACATCCTTTTGTTACCAGACAATGTTTTCTGGAGCTATAGAATGCTACTGTCACCGTAAGATAAATCTGTAATGTATTGAACACAGTAAAGTTTTCCTGTTGTGTAATGTTTCCCTGTCTCTCTAAAGGCTTAGAACATCTTTTACCACAACAGGGGGAAATTGGGATCTTTTATCAACTAGTTCAAAAAAGCATTCCATTTAAATAATGTGTCTGGAACTGTAGTCTGTGGAGATAATCAGTAGCTTATTAACCTTAATCATAACAACACATTATCACTATTTGGTTTCATGTTGACTAATTTGCAGAACAACGGGGAAGAGCACACTCAGCACATAACACTGTTCCTAGTTCTTGGCACTGCATAAATACAGTGACCCTCACTTGAAATGTCAGAGACTTAAGAAAAAGATGTATCATATGATGAAGGAAGAGAGTCCGGGAAAAGAGGATCATGTAATCAGAGAGTTAGTTAAAAAGTAAACACTTGTTAAACCTCTGGACAAAGTGAGACCATCATCAAACAGGTACCAAGAGCACAGAATAAAGGTCAGTTACCTTTTATCATGTTTGTGTAGCTTCAGTTAAACTAACAAGCAGCAGCATGTGCTTAGGGTCATAGTTAAACACTTTTGCCTTGATAAATGAGCTGTGTATTAGGTGCTTCCCTTTCAAGAGCATGGCCATATTGGAACTCTGATCTACAACAAAAAAGACATCAGAAAATGAAGCAATTTACCTGGGGGCAAAAATCAGTCATTTCACTTGGTAGAAAGAAATAGTGACATGTCAAATAATAAAATAATAATAAGTCAAAACAACTCAAATGAAGCAGAGAAAACTCGAAAATAAAACAGATCACTTCAATTTTGGGGAGTGAAATTGCAGAATTTTTTGTTTCCGGATTTCTCAAAATCACCAAATACGCTTTGTGTTGAACTATTTCAGTTCAAGATAAATTGAACTTTAAATTCAAGTTTAGAATTGTTAAACTCTAAACTTGTTAGAATTATTGTCCTATTATATTATATATATTATATAATATGTATTATTTAATATTATGTTATATAATATTATATATATTATATATGTGTTCTATTATATTATATTGTTCTAATATTGCAATTATTGTAAGAATTATTAGAACATTTATAAATGTTAAAGATACATTTCCTCATAACTGCACACTTCTTGTGAAAATTCTTGCTCTTGATCCTGATGATTTTACTATTTCGTATGAACCACATATAAACTCACTGCTGAGGAAGAAATACAGCCGTAAGATTTAGGTGTCCCCATCCTCTGAGGAGAAACACCTTATAAGACCATGCTATATAACATGGTGTATAGACAGTTTCACTGAGTTCATCCAAAAAAAGAAATTTTTAGGGGTATTAATTTCTTAGATATTGTAGGACTACAATATTTGCAGTGGAGGAAAAAAAAAATGCTAGAATTGTAATATACATCTCATACATTGCAACAAAATAAGTGCAAGACGTTTTAGGTTCTGTATTATGAAAATAACTTCCCTAAAATTGTTTACAAAAAAAATTGGGTGGCAACACCCCAAAATTCAATAGAATCAGTTCTACTACATTAAACTAGAAGAAACGTGGAAACCTTCTGCCTTTTCACTGAATTGTGCTATTCCACTGTACCTCTTTAAATGTACACTGCTGCTTAATAATTACTTTGTCGCAGCACAGAAATGGTGTCCTGTCATGATTTGCACTTCCTAGAAAAATGTGAATGAGTAAACTTCAGTTGACCAGAGCATTCACATAGAGGAAGATTGTACTACAGGTGAAACTTTTCAATGGTCATAGAATCAGAGAATGGGTGAGGTTCAAATGGACCATAAAGATCACAAATTCCAGCCTTCCTGCCATGGGCAGGAACATATTCCACGAGACCAGGTTGCTCGAAGTCCCATGTAGCTCAGCCTTGAGCAGTTCCAGGGGTGGCTATTCACCACTTTTCTGGGCAACCTGTTCTGGTGCTTCAGCATCCTCATAAGTGAAGAATTTCTTCCTCATGTCTAATCTAAACCAGCCCTCCTTCAATTTAAAGCCATTATCCCTTGTCCAGTAAGTAAATGTAACAAATACCTCTCCAGCTTTCTCGTAGATCCCCTTTAGGCACTGGAAGGTGCCAGACCAATCTCTTCACCAGATTGAACAACTCCAGTTCTCTCAGCCTGTCTTCATAGGAGAGGTGCTTCAGTCCTCTCATCATCTTGATGGTCCTCCTCTGGACTCACTTCAACAGATCTGCATCCATACGTAGGTGCCCCATAACTGGACAATGTTTGGTTGGACCTGTTTCCATGAGAGCATGGTAGCAATATGTTTATGCTTTGACAAAAGTTCAAACACTGTTTACTCTAAATCACAGTGGGAGTGGCATTGCAGCAATGAATGTTAAAAGGTCATCAAGCTTTTTTTTGCAGATCAGTTTGTAAAGTTGAGATATAACACAGACCAACTCTTCTTCAAGTGTCATACAGAAACAAGTCATAATATATTCAAAAGTTTCTAAAAAAATGACAAGATGCACTTGTTCTTCCTTCAGAACAAATTTGTTCTAGTTTCCTTCTCTATTTTTCTTATGAAGAACCAGAATAGTAAAACACACATAAAAGTCTCAAAATATCAAATCAGTTTGAAACTGTAGGCCATGTTCTGATATTAGAAGAGTTGAAATTACAGTGGAGAGCATTTCATAAGAATTTATTTGGCACAGTACATAATAATTTTCTAATGCATTTTTTAACAAAGAAGGAAGTAAAATAGGATGAGAGGTAAGCATACAGCAAAACTAGGTACAGTGACTAAGTCTGATGAAGAAGGTGGAATCTGAAAATGCTTTCAACTATGAAGTTGAAATGAAGCCTCAGCCAGTCATTCTTGACCAAAATCATAATAATGAGGTTTGGGAGAGACTGGGAATGAATTCAGCAAGACTTTATTATTTCAGTGATACAGATTCACAGTGCTGTAAATGAAATTATTGCCTTTTTGTGTCATAAATGGTACAGTTAATAAAGGCTCTAAATCCCAAAACTTCTCCACATTTTTCTGCTAGCTGCATAGCTCTATGACTAACAGAATGACTGTGCTTTTTTCCAACATGTCATTGCCCTAGACCTCAATTTTGTGGTAAAGTATCTTGATAAAGATCTGCAGCCATACACACAGGCCATGGGATGGGATTGAGAGAGAAATGTATCACATATACTATACATGAATATGAGAGTGATTCCACAAAAAAATTCAAGCTTATTCCATATAAACACGCTTGGAGATCTGGGATGCTGGAAGCAAATATCTGTGTACATATACATATTTTTTTTCCTCAAAATATGTATATATTTAATTTATATTGTTTATAAACAGTCAAAGTACCACACCTAAAACTGGATCTTCATCTCACAGCAATGATTAAATTTATAAATTATTTTGTAAAACTGGGGCTTACAAATTCAAGAGTTGTAATTTTACTGAAAAGAAGTCTGCTGAGAGATTCCACTGTTGGTGTAAATATGCTGGTCTGCTCTGAAATAATGCAGAAGATGCATCTGATTTCTGTATTACTCTTAGTAAATATTGCCCATAAAATTCAATGAGAGAGACTATATTGAGACTTCACCTTAGTGGCAAATAGTAAATATAAAAACTGGAATTAATTTTCTGTGTGTTACTTGGTATCTTATGATAAACTATGGAAACACTTCCGTGTGAAAACAAAAGCTGATCTCTTCTCTTATCCTGCTGTTTGGCCCTTAATCACACATTTTTCTTATACAGCTGAGCAATATCAAGTCACAACATAAGATGCAACTTGTCTTCACTAAATAAAGAGCTAATATTTTTATTCAGTATTTATGTTGATATTTTACGTATCATGCACACTGCTAAGTAGTCAGAAGATCAAATGCACTTTGGCTTAGTTTCCATGAAAAAATTAGAAGGTGTTAATTTTATTACCACTCTGGCAATACATTTGAAACCATATTAATGAGTATTAATGTCATATCCTTAGCCAAAAGAATTCCTGAAGTCAGAGTGCTATTTTATCTGCTTTAAGCTTTAGTAATAAGGAGCTGAATATGTATTTTGATAAGTATTTTATATCTTGTTAGCCAAAGTTGGATACAATTGAAAAATCTCCTACTGTGTACACAGAAATTATGCTGTATTTTGGTAAAACTTTAAGGCTCATGAAAAAAGTGACTGAATTCCAACAGAAATCAAAAATATCCAGACAAACACAGAAATATTATTCAGCTGAAGAATTTTCCAGTTGTCAAGATAAATATTCTTGAGTTTTCATTTGGTTTATTTTAAGAAGTTCCAACCAGTTTGGATAATTATTACACAGAAATCACTATGAAACTATTTAGGTTTCCTTTAACAAAATATTTCATGTTTTTTCCTTGCAATTTTTTCAGTCTCCTAAGAGACTAAATGAATCAAAGAATTAGACAAGAAATAGAAGTTTCTGTTTTAGAAAACAGAATAACAGCTAGACAACAAAAAACAGATGCCAATTATTTGCCAGTGTCTGCGGTAGAACAAAACGTCTCATGACATTTACTTTGCCTTAGCAAGGCTGCTGTAGATGTCAGTCAGCAGGTTCAGAAAAGAGAGTCCATATGATCTAGGACTGAACAAAAATTCTTACACGTTGGTAAAGATGACAAGATGAAAAATATATGGTACTTTTTATAGAGTCAGCTATAATAGCACGACCTGGAATAATACTCTCTTACACTGTAAGATCAGAGTTGCTTAATAAATTAACTGAAAACAAAATTTGCACTTCTTGGACTTAAAAGCCACAAAATAGGATTTCTTTTGTCATACATTGAACAGGAAAGAATTCAAGTTGTGCAATAGAAAATAAAATCTTCTCTCAGCACATTAGCTATTTTCACTTGCCCTGAGCATGCATTTGTATAATTTGTAAAATTATGTGCCATCCAAGGAATACAGGAGTTACTGCTATGCTGCTTACTGGTAACCCATAAAATCATCATAATACGTATTAATGATAACAAGTCAGGCCAGCAGTAAATAATTCTGTTAATCCAGGAGCTAGGATGACAGTCAAAACTTTCAGTTTGGATCTGTACCATTTTTTTATGTAGCAAACACCATAATTAGATGGTTACACTGAAAAAATATGCTATGCTGTTTGTGGTTTACATATTATATCAACATGAACTGTACAAATAAAATTCTGTCTGGAGATGGAAATTGTACTCCTATGAGGAAACTATGTCTGCATCATTCTTCCAGCCAGATCTTTCTTGTACCAGTTAAATCTTAGATTAAAGCCAAGAATGCCCACCCAAACGAGTGCCATGAAGAACTGTACTGGCAGTGGAAGTTAATGCAGCTGAATGGTTACTTTTTGTGCAGGGCTATACAACACAAAAATGCATGAGAATCCACAAGGGAAAAAAAATGCCGAATTTGTTTACAAGTGGTCTTTAAAATAATTACAGAACATATAATCATTTCATATGGGAACATCTGCTACCTGCAATATCAGTAATATCTCGTGTTCTTCCCTAGCTGAAGGGCTCAGTGTAGCAGTGCAACCAGTGGAGGTCCAAGCATGTTTAGCAATGGGGAAGCAGTTGCAGGTGACATACCAACAGTATCCTTCACATCAGTCCTCCTGGCCTGACTGAAGAAAGAGATGTCTGTAAAAGCCTTTATAAGCACATTGTTTGTGTCTTCAGTTCAGCTGGTACTTTTGGAGCCTTTCATTACCGTGGGCCTACCATCACTCTGTCAGTGATACCACCAACAGTCTTGCTCCATTTGTATTTTCTTTACATTCTTCCCCTTGAAATACTGATAACTTTAATGACATCAACCACCTTTCCAAGAGAGTGACAGATTATAAGAAAAAATCACCAAGTCTCATTCAAAAAATCGTTAGCACAAAATTCTGGCACTCACATAAATACAAAACATAAATACTTACTGTTTTGGTGGCTGTGCTTCTGAGAGATTAAGTGGAGATAAGTGCCTGTGAGATTTTAACATGTTTTTTTCAGGGTCAGTACATATTATGAAATGATAACAACACAGAGAACAAAATAGGTGAACAATGCAGCTCCAGGATAATGTGACTGCAGCACAGGGCCGAAATTCTGTTAGCAGCTGTTTCACATAGAAAAAAATTTCTGCAGTTTTAATTCACTATTTAATTTTTGTACATGGTTACTGAAGTCTGCAAAATATACTTACTTTCTGGAGTTTTTTTCTTTGAGTGTACCTGCTTTCCCATAATAATAATTATTTTCTGGAAATGGAATTTATAAACTCAATAATATTGACTTTTCTGGCAAAAAAACTCACCTCAGCATATGAAGCATGTTGAGCTATGACTTTACTTAGAACAGAACTTTTTGTTAGAAAGATAAAGGTGGATTTTCTATCAGTCCAGGGATTGCCACTATGAAGAATCAACCTTCACTTAGCACATTTCTTTCAAATTAAACAAGGAGTAAGCAAGACTAACTCATCCTCCCCAGATGATGAGCCAGCATGCTGAGGAAGTGGGGCTGAGAGGTGGCAAATGACTTAATGATGTCATGGGGAACATACTGCTGTGGCCCAATAGTACGTCTTTTACTTCTGTGAATAGTTCCACTGATTTCAGGTGGACAGTCCTGCAGGATTAAGGCACTGATTCATAAATGTTTCAAAACAAGGCCAAAGCCCATATTTTAAGTCTCAAAGACAGGGTAGTTTCTATCTAACCTAATAGATCAGAACCTCTACTTGCTCATTAGCTGAGGACCTCTGCCCTTCTTATTAGGCCCAATTTTCTCAGATGAACTGTCAGATGGAATCTGCTGCAAGTGTACACAGGGAAAATTCCATGTCATTAATGGAACAAGTGTTTAATGATTTTGGATGCATCAAGTTTACCTAGCTTCTTAAAAGATCTCTTCTCATGTATAACAGTGGCTGCAACACCAGGGATCATTTTCTGAAAAGGCTGGCACTTCCCAGTCTATCAAACCATCAGCTTTACATGCTTGATTGTGAATTTGTTTTAAATAATAGATTTTAAAATCCTAAATTTAAGGAACTAAACAATGTTTAGGATTCCCATTGCTAGCACTTATGAGGCAGTACTTCAGCCTCCACTGAAATCAGTAGGAACTTTAACTATGTAAGGCCGCAAAGAACTTAGGATTCATTAAGTGTAATATGAAAATTTCACATAAGAAAGGTTATATTAACTTTAGAAGTTTTATTTTAAATAAAAGTTCATGAGTCAAAAATGTTTAAAA